TAAGCTGGTTCCAAGCGATGGATACTGGCAGTATCTTCACGTCCGTTTCGCTCGATTGTATAGAATTTCTCGTGTCTCTTGATCAATTTGAATGGCTCAGCGTAGGGTGGTTCAAGGAGTCGACGGACGGCGTCGTGGAGAATGAACAGGTGTGATGTCTTTCGTAAACTGGGGTGAACGAAGACATCAGTCGTTTGAGGCCTACCCGGAAAAGGCCTAAGTAAATGCATTGCGTTTGTAAGCCTAGTCACGTAAGCTACCCTGTCGGAAACATGTTCGAAAACTGAAGCGGAAACAAATTCACCTGGTAAGCGAAGAGCGGCCCTGTAGACGAGTTCTGCGGGGATATATCTCGCATTGGCTTTCAACGCGTGACAAATACCCAGTAGGACTGGAGGCAGAGCCTCGGTTCACTGGGGTCTGTTCGCAGCTGAATACACGAGCTAGTGTTTCAACAGTAATATCCATAATGGGTGCTGCTTCTGGCCACCGTGTGAAACGATCTACAAAAGTGAGAAGGTAAGCACGTCCATGAGATTATGGCAGAGCTTCTACAATATATATATGGACGTGGTCGAAACGCACGTCTAGGACTAGAAAAGAACCTTAAGGGCTTTTTGTGTCTCATGACTGCAATTCTGACAGGCTAAGCACAACTGAGTCCACTCCTTAACGTCTTTGTTCATTCCGGGCCAGCAGAAACGTTGTGCAATAAGCCTGATGGTGGCTCGTACACCTGGATGGAACAGCTTGTGTAGCGTATTGAAGACGCCGCGTCAACATCGCTCTGGAACTATTGGGCGTGGTTGATTGGCAGAGACATCGCACAAAGTTGTATCCTCGCCTGGTCCTACTGGACATATTCGTAGCTTGAGAGTTGTGGACGACAACTCATGATGCAGGTCAAGGTCTTCTTTTTGACACCAAGGTAGTTCAACGAGATCAACGTCCCCGATATGGTTTATCAATGCTAGTCGAGATAGTGTATTAGCTACGGAGTTATCTACTCCGGAAATGTGGCGGGTATCTGACTTGAACTGGGAAAGGCAATCCACTCGTCTTGACTCACGAGGGGAGTATTTGTCAGATGCCGAGCTAAGAGACAAGGTTAACGGTCTGTGGTCTGTGAAAATCATGAAGTTATGACATTCCACCGAATGTCGAAAATGGCGTACAGAACAGTACATAGCCAGAATTTCCTTACCAAATGTACCGCATCTTGTTTCCACGTCTTGCAGCTACCCTGAGAAAAAGACTAAAGGTTGCTACTGGCTGTCAGTCAACTGTTGCAAAGCTACTCCAACTGCTGAGTCAGATGCATTAATAGCAATACTCAAAGGAGCATTCGGGTGGTGATGCCTAAGCATAGCCGGGCTCGAAATGGCTTCTTTGACTTTCGAGAAAGCAAGTCCAGCGACGTTGTTCAGAGTCACGCAATTCAAGTCCCTCGAAGTAGATCTGTGAGTGGTCTCATGACAGAGACACAGTTAGAGATAAACCTTCAGTAATAACTTGCCAGGTCACTGAAAATGCGGAGCTACTTCGCAGCGGTCGGCTGTGGATAGTTCAAGGTAGACGCCACTTTATCCATCAGTGGGCGTATACCTTTGTTGTCAGTGGTGTGCCCAAGGAAGCCGAGTGATTCAACCTCCATTTCACAGTTCTCCAAGTTGACTGTCATGCAGTATGTTTAATCTACTGAATACCAGGTCAGTGTTTAAGGTGAGTTTCCTTATCCGGACTCGCAATGAGGCAGTCATTGATGCAGAAGTAGACAAAATCTAAACCACGGAAAGCATCATCCACAAGGCGTTGAAGCGTTTGTGCTGCATACCAAGGACCAAATGGCATGCGCAGGAATTCAAACAAACCGAAAGGAGTAGTGATGGCCGTTTTCGCGACATCCTCTGCTGCCATAGGTATCCGATTGTACGCTTTGACCAAATCGATTTTGGAGAAAATATTCATTCTGCATAACGTTGCAGTCAAGTCGCAAACGTGAGGTATCGGGTAGCAGTCCGGAGTTGTTTTGGCGTTAAGCCCTCAGTAATAACTGGTTAGACACCAGTCGTTGCTATCTTTTTTTGAGAACCATATGCAATGGTGGTGCCGACGAACTATTTGAAGGTTTAATAATGCCTAGTTCGAGCGTGTGGTTGAATTCACTCTTCGCCGTTTTGAGCTTATCAGGGGCTAGGCGGCGTGCTTTGGATGCCACAGAAGGACTCGTGGTTGTCATGTGGTGCATAACATTGCTGGTTATGCACGGAAGAGTATGCTTCGGTTGTTGTAACTCTGGATGTTTCACCAAAGCTGCCTGATAGGACACGTCGACTGATTGTTTGGTTCTAACGACGGCTAAACTCGGGCTTACGTAGGTGGTGCTGCCAGTAAATAACTTTGTGGTGCTATCTATCAGACGTCGACGGCGAGCATCTACGAGTAAGTCGTAGTGGTTTAGCAAATCCATGCCAATGATGGGCATAGAAACGCCAACCAGGAGGAAACTCCAGTGAACAGGTTTGCGTAAGCTTAAGTTGAGTTAGGCATACTATCTCCCAAATGTTGCCACTGCCTTGCTGTTAGCTGCTTGAAGATCGAAGGCTGGGCCATGATGACGCCTTTTTGTCGGTGCAGGAGGAATATTAAGTTCTGCGCCGGTGTTGACGAGGTAGCGAACATTCGATTTAATATCCGCGACGTAGAGCAAACGGCTGGTTCCGCCGGCTACGGCTGCCGTGAATACTTGCCGGTGTGACAAAGTTTGTGTCTTTGTTAAAACTGCATGGCTTCCGGCATTCTCTGGCTTCGTCCCCGTAAGTATTATGAAAGCAGTACCATTTAGGGTTTTCCACCGTGTTAGGTTTAGTTTTGGACAACCATACGAGTTGCTGCGACGCGCTAAGATGCGTTTCTATGACATGTTACGTAGGCTAGGAGTTCGAGTTCGTAGCAGAGTTGCATAGCTTGGCCATCTCTAAATCCTAGCTCTGTGGTTCATCGCAGACAGAATACACATGGGAGACTGGTCTGCTAGAGATCTCCAGTATTTTATCTGCTGGGGCTGCCAGGTCATCGGGTGGGACTGACTGTAGTGTCACCAACACGGCTTGCACCGGCTGTGGCAGTTTTGAGGGAAATAGTTCTCGGAAAAGGCCATCATCGATTGTTCGTGCGTCGATTACTTCTCGCATGCGTGCGAGGACTTCAGTAGCTGAGTTGCTGCCTAGCTCGATGTTACGAAGTAATTCGTCTAGGTGCTGGCGATCTGTCAGATCGCTTTTCTTTAAGAGTGCGGCTATGAGAAGTGCATAAGGATCACTTGCTTCAGGACTAAACATATCTGTTGCAACATGCCTGTTTAATTTCCGCGGTAGCGAACGTATGACGGCATGAAATCGAGAATGAGGATCTGAGACACCCTGTTCTCGAAAATCGGCCTCGGCATACAGAAACCATGTTTCTGCACTGTCTGGCCAATATGGCACGAGTTGGATCGTGTTCGTAGTCGGCCTAATACGGATAAGCTTGGGTGTACGGTCGGACATCAGAAAGAGTTGTATGTGGATATATAATGGTTATCAAAATGAAAGCAATGTACAAGTATAAAATGGAACAGGCTCACAGATTCAATATCTGTTATTGGTCGCGATATGTAATCATGTCGGGATATTTGATCACGTCGGGCTCCCCAATTCAGGATTTGTCCTGGTGCGAACTTGACAGACACAAAAACCAATCACTAATTAATCTGACTTGTTATATACCCACGAGTACGAGACCACGAAAGAACACGATAGCGTAATCAGATGGAATAGTATATTTGGATGGTTGTGCCAAGATACCGATCTGTTTCAACTAACTGGCTAAAGAGTCGATTACGAGCAGTGCAACGTAACACGACAGCGTGCAAAATGGCGAGGATGCTTGACCGGGTGCCTTCAGCTTAGCGAGTCCAGTTAAACTATCAAAATCAGCATCATTGTTGAATCTTGTCAAACCCTAGGCTATTGATTTAGGGGAAGTGTGACGCTACACGTCTGATGCCTATCAACGCAGCTAAATATGTGAACGTGCACGAGGGCACACTGTTTGTAACACCTGCGATAATGTTAGGACTCCTCTACTCTCTACTGACCCACAATGACACAGCAGTCACAGTGAGTTAGAATATGAAGACCACAGCACACTACCGATTAGCCGCACCCGGGGGTCCTAAGAAACTTTGAACATTACGCAGAACGTTTACAAAAATAAGTGGTGACATTTTCACCACACCATAAACATTCCTAGTTGGGTCTTAACTAGAAAACTGTACACAGGCAACAATTCCCTGTCTGAAAGTTGACTCAGACCTTTTGGAAGGAGTTCAGGAGATAGCCACTCGAATAATCGTTGCAATGGCTGGTCTGTCATAAGAAGATTGACTTGAGGAACTGAACGTCTTCCTTTGTCCCAACCGAGACTAGGGGGAAATCTAATCATGCTTTACAGGATAATAGAAAACAACTTTAGGCCTGATCCATCTCCCCTTTTCCTCCTCGCCGGGCCGAAGCAACTCAGAGGATATAGTATGAGAATACAAAAGCAAAAGACGAGCGTAATCTCTGGCGTTGACTAATCAAATCCTGGAACCGACCCGGGAGAGAAGTGGCGTCCGCATCATAAACTGACTTGTTCGAAAAAGAGATCTACTGGAAGAGGATTTATATAGGCTCTAGGACCTTTGTGCTTAAACAGTGAATATGAACTCTGAGAAGTCGTTTAATTTTCATAGGGCACGGTTGTCACTTGCATGTGCTTGTAGCATTAGAATTCACTATGAACCCGAAATTATGTACAAACGAGTAATATTTAATAAGTAGAATTTTTTCATGCATTTGCGATGAAAGTTATTTACAATGAGCACATTTCGTTTTATCTGGTCATATACTTTGTACTCTATGGTCCCAAAGCGTGTACTCATTTAAATATCAACCCAAATATACTAACTTGATTACATGGCTACTGATTTATTTTTGTCAGGAATACACAACAAAGAGAATAGCGAAGATGATGAAAGTAGCGCCGTGTTACGCATATCAGAGGCGTCTGCCAAGGATTCTTGCTGTCTTGACTTGAAAAATTTAAACCTTAAGAAAGTTCCCAGTGAAATATTGAATTTGCCGTATCTTCAAGTGAATAGAAACCAATTTATGCTTTTAAACACTTTAGAAACTTTATTTATCAGACAATTCTCTGGACCTTATACCACCAGAATTGCTTAAATCGTTGAATAAACTTCGTTGGTTGGATTTACGCAATAACAACTTAGAAAACATACCTACTGAAATAAAACACCTGAAAGAACTACAAACCTTACTTCTAGATAACAACAAAATTAAAATTCTTCCTGTGGAGCTTGGTAAGGGTCGTATATTTTCTAACCATACCCGTAGGACTTCTTAAGAAACTGGCCGTACTCCACCATCGAAATAACCCAATTGAGTTTCCTCCAGAAGACGTACTAGAGAAGGGTTCGAAGCACATTGTGAAGTATTTGTATGACTGCTATTCAAGCTTGGTAAACATAGCAACTAACAAGGGTATGTACTGAATATGTCCTATGTTCATCCAGATGACCTAAGTCAGAGCACAATAAGCAAATTTTTGCAAAGAGCAATATAAAGCCTCTTAGAGAATTGTGAGAAAATGAGACGATCAGCAAACATGTTTCGTAAAGCCTGAGTGCTTGTCCCATAAGTTCACTAGTGTTTGCGCTATTCCATGTTTCCCAGGTTTTTTCCCTAGCTAACACATACTTCAAAATTTCTCTAAAGCCATCAAGTTGAGATGTTAACAAATCTGTAGTGCTGTTCTTTAATTTGTTTCATTGTTCTTCTTCACTCATTTAGATTGGTGTGAAATATTTCAAACAAAGCTTGTAAGACTAAATTCGGCGTGAAAAAGATAGTGTGTATCATTTCTCAATGTCATAAGAGTTTCAAGCATTTCCATGCAGCCGTGTTGTGAATGTAGGCTATCCAACCACTTTATTAAGTAGATTGATACTTCTTGATGACGTAGCACGGGAACTTGAAAAGGAACAGGCATTTCCATTTCTTGTTATCTGGATCTTGAACACTCCTCTAAAATAACATTTGCTGATTTCGTCACATCTCATGTGATTTTCTGCACCTTGTTATTTATGTTTTACCGAATTTCATATTATGTGCTGCAGTGATTTGAGGTAACTCGAATGAGTTTTACGTTAACCGTCTGATTACACGTGTTTGTGCTCCAACTGACCATATGTCTAAAAGCGTGATCACTAAACCATTAGGATTATATTTCTGAAGGGTGATGCTGTGGCAGTTTTCTGTGTACTGTAAAGTATGCTGTTGTGATACGTTTGTAGTAAACACCAATTAATTAATTGTTCTCGTTATTCACTACCGAGATAAACTAGACCTTCTGTATCCGAGGTGAAATTTCGTCAGCAACCAGCCCGTTTGAGCTGACACAACTCCCAAAGTAAGTGAAGTGGTTGATACACCCTACCATTTTTCTCCCTACCCTCAGAGTGGAAGTAGTTGCAGACCAGTTCTGCAGCATCATCTTACACTCGACAGGTGCGAAACGCAAGCCAGTCAAACATACTCAGGTGTTTGCTCAAGGAGTCCGGAAAACTCTGAATTTGTCATCTCCACATTGGAGGACAATATCGTCTACATACTCCAAGTCAACCACTCCAATCCCTGTGAATTCGGACACACGTAAGGTTATGTCCATTGGTATGTCTGTGGCGAAGTTAAATGGGGACGGTGACGGTGGGCATCCCTTGTTGATACCACTAGTTGTTGTTACATCAATTCCGACGACAACTCTCCATCAGCCCTGACACGGTTTCTTGAGTCCGAGTAAAGCTTCTATCAGCGTTACATATGTGCTTGATACTTTCCTCACAGTCAGACACTTGCACAACACCTCTCAGTTGACAGAGTTGAATGCCGCCTTCAGATCAGCGAATGTGGCAAGTGCCGGGCGCCAATAGGTATGCTGGTGTTCTAGAACATGTCCGGGGATGAATATATGATCGATGCACCCTCATTGAGGTGTGAAACCTGCTTGATTTTCTTGAGTTTGCTGCTCTTGAGCTGCAGTCCGGTGTCAGATTACTATAGATTCTTGTATCTTGGACACAATATCATTCGAAGTAGTTCCCTTATAGCTGTCATAAGAAGACTTTTTTCCGTTCTTGTAGACTGTAATGATCAGTGGAGTGGACCAGTCTGATGGCATTACCTCTGATTTCCATGCACTACCTAGTACCTCTGTCACTGTAATCAGTAATTTCATACCTCCATCCTTCAAAATGTTGGATGCTAAAACGTCAGATCCGGCTGTTTTTCATCGTGTTTTGGTTGAAGACAGCTTTCTCAACTTCGAGGGTAGTTGGAGGAACAAAATTTGTGTCGTGTTTAGGTTGAGACTGAATGTTGAGCAAATGGGGCGTTGTCATGGGACAGTTGAACTGTGCTCCAAAGTGTTTTGTCCAATGTTCTAAACGCCCATCAGTGTTTCATCCTTTTTGGTGATGGTTTCACTCACCATGGTCTTCTTTTTGCCGGTACACTTAGTAAGCCCAAGCAGTTGTTGAGTGTTGCTCAGCGCTGTTGCCTTCTCCATCTTTCTGCGGCTTTCGCTATCATGGCTCGTGATCATTGCGAAAACTTGTTCAAATTACATTTAATTTGCTTTCCCTCTTCACCGTGACCAGAGGCAGCTGGAATCAGCCTTCTGGCATCAGTCATTTCAGATGACGTTGCAGAAATTCATTGACGTTTGTTAATTTTTGGGTGTAGGTTACCAACTGTCTTTACCGCTGTTTCTACATCAGACTTAACATGAGACGAGGTTTACCCAGGATGAGCATTGCTGTCATGTTCAAATAAGTTCTTAGTTAACTTCTCCCCCCTAATGCGTACTTAGGGTTCACATCCTCCAAAGGAGGATGGAGAGGCCTTTCTGTTGCTTGCAACCAATAAGGTGCGTATATAGACGAGGTAATCCTATGGCATGATCGGAATGCAAACTGGTGCTCCAGAAAGTGTGGTAATGTTCCACCGATCCCTCGATGGCTTACCAAAATTTGATCAGTCTGTGTCTGTCGTTGGTTTGAAGCCGGAGGCTGCTATGAGAGACACTGGAAACTCCTTTCTTTAAAGTTAGTGCTGGACACTGTGAGGATATACTGAGGAAGCTCCATCACTTTAACCCTTTGCTATTGTACTGCGAAAAAGGCTTCTAAAATGAAGATGTATACTGAATTTGTGTTGATCAGTAGTCCTGAGGGTAAAGTTTTCCTATGGATTATCATTTGATTAGGAACCGAATATATTACATATTCGTTAGGAGTGACTTACAGTCTAAAATAAGGTTGCTTTTCGTAAGTGATTCACTCTGTGTTCACATTCAGACTGTTCATAAAGAATCACTTTCTACAAAATAAGTTGATGATTTGTATCCTCCTTTTAGTAAGCTCTAAAACAGGCGGTTTGTCCTCTTCAGTTAACGTCCTGAATGCAACACATTTTCGCGAGAATATGCAGTGATGTAAGTTATTTTAAGAGTTGAATTCTGATAAGAAATCTAAATAAGTCAGTAAATATTTCGGTCCCTATGACAAAAGTGTACTTGCCACATTCCGTTCAGATGTGGTATGACGACTAAATTATAGCCCGAGGAAGACAGCTCTGAAAATGTTCAAACCAAGGCAGGTGAGATTTCTGTAAATTTGGTTGACTTTTACTGTAATTAATTAAGATATCAGTGAAATCCCGTTATTTGCCTACTAGAGGCCATCAGTCTAGATTTTGAGAGTGAAACGAATAAAATATGAGGTTTCTCGGGGATCTCTGTCAACCAATATAGGACAAATAAGTCAGTTTTTCATCTTCTACCCCTCAATAAGTAGTGCAGAAATTCATCTAACCAACAATATGTCCTTGTTTACATAGTTTGTTAACCTAGGAATATTTGGGATCAAACCTATTGACTTTTCAGGGAGGAATACTCCGTAGGTGTGCCTCACTGCTACTAGACCCAGAAAGACAGCTGTACTCATTAAATGGTGGTAGTAAAGGGCCTCACCGATTCCAGTACAACGCTAAAATCAGTCCTGTTACTAGGTTATGACCACGTATGAAGAACTTCGGCATCGGTGTAGCTTCATCCATCGAAAACTTATCGGTAAAGTATCCTTCTCTCCCATTGCTAGGTAACCCTTCCACTCCTCCCTCGCTTCTTGATTTTCGACACAGTCAGTAAGAGGTTAATCGTTATGAATGGAAAATATAGTCAGTGACAGGAAACAATCGTTCTCAAGTATTTGGTCCATTTAATCCATGGACCAAGTTGTATATTAGAAGCCTTCTGCTGCTACCATGGTGTACCTTTTTATTTTGCAATCTATGTTTTGGAAGGCTAAATCCTGATTTCTATTCCAATAATAGCTTTGTCATATTGTTTTTGACTTAACTAGGGTCATTCGCAATCATGATTTGTGTTTGAGTCTTCTCAGTTTTTACGGTTGTAGAAAACAATGAACGTTTTACAGTGTTATACCTGATAGTCTTCTGTTGAATGTTAACAGCTGGTTCTGTTGATGTCATCAAATTTTCACTCTGCCATTTGTTTATGACTGCTAGATTGTGTGGTTATGGTTGAGTCCTCGATGGCCTGGACTGTTATCTCTCTTTTATTTCTGTTTCATTGTTTTCGATTAAATCATTTAACTATTTATCGTTTATAACTTATATCTCACCATGCTGAACCTTTTATACGCTTCAGATGTCCAACTGGCACAAGCTTTGTGATAACACCCCTTACATCCATCACACTGAAGTGAAGCTTACTTAGAAAATGTGTCCCGTTCTTCTATAAGTGCTTTCTTAACGATACTAAGCTGTTATGTTGTGTTAGGATTCGGATTTCTGCTACCTGATTTAGAAGGTTAAGGTGGAAAAGACTCCGAGAATTACGCTGTTTGGAGGCGAATTGACGATAAAAGTGTGATAAATCTTTGAAAAAAAGCAAGTAAATGAACCGCATAGAATTTATTCTTTTATAGGCTTACATAAGGGACGCAGTGACTTTATAACCCTTAGTCAGAAATCATTTTCTTGTAGAAACTCTGAGTTAGGCTTCAGTCATAAGTCCGGCTGTGAAATACTTTCTCAAACAGTATTTCGCTTTCTGGCTCTTTGGTTTAACTGGTAATTGTCAGAGTGTGGGATGAAAAATAAATACTGCCAATGAAGTTTTGTGTCATAAAATACTACAATATCTTGCTATTCACGATCCCTATCACATTTTCGTTGCTTGCTTTTAGGTTCCTCTTTTTATTGTGTATGCGAAATTGTGAATTAGATTCTAATTAGTCATTCCTCTACCCATCCTTCTGCATTTATATTTAGGGAATTTGCCTTTATTATTGATTGTTGCTCATTTAGCGGTTTTCCAGAAAAAGCGTTAGTTGTTCAGTGTCTTTGGGAAAGACATTTATAATATCATGGTCAAGATATACGAATCTAGGTTAACAATGCAAATACGTATCTCAGTTGCATAAAACTGTGCATATGGCTTTGACGTTTCGAATGATGGGTACTGAGTTCGAGTTTCACTTGGAACGAAATCACTCACTGGCGTGCAGGTACATCCAACTAAAGAGTCCCAAATAGGGTGGAGTGCGCGTCCTGGATTCCACTGAGAGTCACTAAGATGAATACAACATTATGAATACCTGGCAGTATCGAGGTATCTGTATAGGAGTCCATCTGCCAACAGAGGTTGAGCAATTCGGCTCTGTTTAGGAATGGAAAATTAAAAAGACTAAACAATAGCTGAAAACTCCAGCTCATTCATATCCCTATTAGTTCTGACTATCAGTGTTTCATTTCACTGCACTATCGAGAAGACAATGAAACATCTTTTTATGTATCTTGAAGTAAACTGCGAACTAATATGGTATCTGTAGCTATAAAGTAATACATTTTCTGTAACGGATATAATGAAATGGATTCCAAATCTTTATTATTCAAGTGATGTTCATAAAGAATGGATAACAAGCTTTTCATAGCAGCCTAATATAATTTGTTTCATTTCAAAATGATCTACGTCATACTGAATGACAATTCATATCTTCGTTACGTGTGTTTTAAAGAATGTCACTTTGAGAATTATCATAGGCCTGTGGTAATGAGAAAGTTCCGGATAATCTAAGGAATCTGTGATACTCAGTGATTTTGAATTGTTAATTTATTTATATCAATTTCGAATGAGAACTGTGCTTAAGATGTAGTTATTTTTCAAAATTCGAAATGATCTATTTCATCTGTAGGATTTTTCTGATAAGAGTCTAAAGATGAAAAACGCCATGGAACGCGTACATATTGCTCCGAAAAATATTCTACTGTCGAACCTCAAATCTGAAGAAGATAATGCTGCAGATATATCTAGAAAGAGACTATCAAGTAGTTCAGAATGATCCTACCGATGAAAAAGAGAAATAGCTCTCCAAGACATTGAAGATTCAAAATGCCTGTAAGCAGCATTAGCAGATGCAATCGACTGGTTCTCTAACTCAAGTCAGTGCATGATAAATGCTACCTCAAAATTGAAAATTCCCATTAAACTCAATTTTTGATTGACCGCTTAGTCAAAGCTAGACAATTGATTGACAGGTTTCCAAAACACCAAGACCTTGCATACCAACCGTTGTTTGATTAAAAAAGCATCAAGTGCATTGTTTTTGTTGTTTTCAGCCTTTTATACTTTAAGGCCTATTTACAAAATCATTCAGTGTTAATGTAAAGTTATAAAAGGCAGTATAACAGCTTTTCAACAAAGTTTTATTGTGTTAGTCTTACATGTGAATTCACTTCCCGAAACCCTCCATCAAAACGTTAAATGTTAAAAATAACGTTAAAATTTTAAAAACTACTTCACTTGTAATTGCATCTTAATGAGTTCAGCACTTGTATCAATGATTGCTTCACAGGAAAAAAATTAGTAAGATTTGGTAAAGTATTGCAAACTGATAAAGAATGTTGGTTTTTTCTGAAGGGCTTTCTTGTTCGTCTTCTAGCTGTGCTTTAATCCAGTTACTTCCAGTTCATCATGTTTTCTATTAGAGATGGCTAATTTCTAAGATAAATAACTTGTAATATATTTATATTATCATTGTAAGGTTTAAGTCTTATTTTCACGCCCTTTATGCGCCATGTTATGTTTCTTATTTTCACCTCAGTTTAGGATGCTAAACGCCGACTGGTCTAGTTTACAGTTTGTTTTCTCTGGCCAAGGCCATCTAACAATATATAAACGACTGAGTTTTCACCGACTATATATTCGATTGGAGTAAATAAACTTTCAATCCTATCACCTTCTTCTGGTATCAGGTGAATATCGAGTTGAGAAGTCATTGTTCTATCGTTAATCGTAACGTGTTGGAGCGTTGTATCGTTATTTATAGTGTTGAATCGTAAAGTTTTCCTTTGCAGAAAGTTTGCTGATAGATTTTCTGCTCTTCCTACTTTCTTCAAGGATGCCGCATTGTATTCTACTTAGACTTATCCTGTTAGTGGCATGCATCATGACATTAGGAAGTACAAATCATATAATATTCATGATATAATGTGGTTCGCTTTTGCATCATAGCATTATTATTTTTAATGAATTGAGGAAAATGACTTAAGCTGCCTTTCTGAAGTCAGCCCAGTAGTTGATTTGTACTTTTTACACTTGCTATGCTTGCGAATAACTGTCTGAGTTATCTGAACACTAAAATGCAGAAAGTGGCGAAATTATTGCAAGGCTTTCACCAACGCACAAATGTGGAAAAACAGATCGGTAAATAGCAGAGCTATACCTGAATTTCCTTTTATTTCTTTTTATGTGTCGTTTCTTTGTGTGTTGCGAAAGCGTTTTTTAAGAAATCGTTTACGTGCTAACTAGGTGCAATTTTGCGTACTACCTTTGTAACATACCACATCTACATCACTACGTTAAAACCGTTGCCTATCTGATGTTATAATAATGTTCAAATTTTGATGTGAAATCTATTTTAGGTTTAAGTTTATTCATGCATAGTACAGAAGATGATGAGCTGAAAACTAGGAACAATCCTTCTCACTCAGAACAGCAGCACTTAAATGGTGGTAAGACTGTTGATGCCGGAATTTCAGATTTAACTAAATCCATGGATGTGATAAATTTAAGGGTGAAGGATAAAAGTCACTCGAGGAAATACGTAGCTTCAGTTAGTCCTGACAGACACCATTTTGTCGATGAGTCATTGCGACAGAGACCAAATTCTGCTCATCTTTTTGATGCTAATAGAATAGAAAAGAAGTGCTCAGTTAGTAATCTTGCTGAATCTCAAAGTGATGTGAAAAACTACCGAGAATTTGATCATGAAAAGCTTGTCAAAGTTTTAGGAAACATGGTTCATGCAGATAAAAACCTACCCGATAATTATGAATGCCAGAAGTGTCTCAAACACTACCCAGGGATTACACACAAATCAAAATTATACAAAAAGATTGAAAGTAACTACATAAAGTCAAAACGTAATGTATCAAAATCACACAGGTGAGTTTTCAGTTCTAATGAACTTCATTACAGTTGGTGCATGCTTTTTTCCTTGCCTTTTTATTACATTTCCGTAGTGTAAAGTTTCAGAATATTCATATATGTTTTATAATAAACTGACAGACAAATTAAAAGGTGAAATATTGCACCGAGGTTTATTCGTTCAAAACTTCATTCACTGTAACGGTATCAAATGAGCAAGACGGCAAAATGTGGAGGTATTATTAGTGACTCTAAGAATCATATGATTAAAAGGAGAACGGATAAGTAATAAATAATAAGATGTTCAGGATTTCTGAGAGGATAATGAGTGTTCGAATTCATGTCACCTTGGTCTGCTTCATGAAGAAAGTGGATCCAAAGTCTACCTTTTGGCACAGCAAATTTAGCACATTTCCTGAAAGGAAGAATGTGTTACCATATGCTCTAAAATAAGATGTTTGCGTTTTCGTAATCCTCAAAGATCCGAATTTCCTCTAAATATATACTAAATTCATGTGAGGTACACTTTCATTCTTACTTATATATGATGCTTTCATTACTTATGCTAGTATTTAATTTGCCAACAAACATTATCCATTATATGCTTTACTATAATTATAAAGTGTAAAGAGTTGTGCCAGTACCACACTTTCGTCTATCGATTAACAGAATCATATACCTACCATTCCCTTTTCCTTCCCGAATTCAAATCCCCTCATATAATAACACAATCACATATGTAAACAAATTTAGTTCAGATACGGTAAAGTAGATAATTTTCATCACAAAATTCCAACGTAAGCCATCCGACGTTGTTAAATATTTGTCAGCAAGTCAGCGAGTTAAAGGTCTGAGGTAAACTCCAGAAACGAAAATTTAGTATGCTTTCCTTTATTTAGGAAGTGTGATTTAAAATTTCGAAATTTTACTCTATCCAACAGAAATCACTTTAAAATAGTCAATGGGTAAGTTTTATAAAACATTCTTGCATGTGAATAAGCGGTGTATCTGTTCTGCTTTTTAGAATTGAATTATGAATTAACTAATTCTTCACTTGGATTTCTATAGTCCAGAATAACGCAGGGAGAACAAGGGTTGTAACTGTAATAGGTACATCCCAGAGATTTTTCAAATCAGGTCACACAACCAGTCCATGAAAACGTTGGTCAGGCAGATCCAAACACCACACATATATACATTAACAAAGTTACGGTAACGTGGAATCAGTTATGCTTAAATGGTAACGAACAGAATAAAATTAATAGCCAAAGTCATAGAACAATAATACGCAATGAGAACATTGTTAGACATGAATTAATCAGATGTACACTCATGCCTATCTATCAAGAAAGTGATAGCTCATTATAATATCTTCATAATTTAGCTATGATTCAGTTTTCGCACGTCCTATAGAACAATAGATGTGCTCACTGAAGTTGTTTTGCTTACTGGTAGCAGTATTTTTGAGGACTTAGGCGAATATAAGTTCTATTAGAAGGGTTGGGATGTGAATGAAGCAGGTGTGTTTTATACTGTTGATATTGTCATCGCGAACTTCTGTTACTACTCACCCAAAACTTTCAGTAAAAAGTTGTGGGAGAGGCTTAAATTCAAACATATCCTTCACTGTCTCAAGTGGTTTAGTACCAAATAATGTGAATCTCGATATGCATCTGGTCATGTTGTTGATTTCACTCAATAGAACTCGATTATCATCATTTTCACAAGAATTCATACACGTTTGGTGGTGTTTCAACAATAATGTCTCTGGCTACTATGCAAGGTGAAGTCTAGTAGCATAGTGAATTAAATCTTTATACATGTCATATATTTACTTTCTTCTTATGAGCGCTAGCAGTAAAAATAAGGTCATTGAATTCCAACCAGTACTACTTTATAACATTTCAGAATGTGCACACTGTGTACACCGAACAACCCACATTTCTTTTTGTAGTCAAATGTACAAACTGAGTTAGATATTTTGTATGAAGTGTAAACCAACTGCTTTTCTGATACATAAAGTTTTTAAAAAACTACGTCAACTTCAAAATACGATGCACTTCAGTGTAGTCGCATTAGTCGAATATTGGGGTTCAATTTAAGCAAAAATATCTTAAGATGAACGAAATTCGAAGTTTCAGTTGGTTATCAGTAGTAAGAAAAGTGTTGGAAATTGACTTTTTTTCCACATTCACTTTGAAGACATCTATTTAATATTTTATAAAATGAAAACAATTCACTGCTAATTAATTTAAAAATACTTTTATTTTTATCTAAAAATTGATTTGATCTGAGTTCACTTACGGTATTGGTGTTAAGCCTTTGTCAGCAAGATTACCTTAATCTACTATGTGAATCACAAAAGGTATCAAATACATGCTGTCCATTTACATGTCCACTCATTTCCTTCAATTTTTCTAAGTCTTCACCAATATCATTATCATTGTCACTATTCGTTTGGCTTTTTTCTTCCAGATTCCTGATAGAAGGGCTTCATGTGAACTAAGCATAACAATTTGAACATATAGATAACTTTCTTGAGCGGTATACTATTGTTGTCTGTTTGACATCAAATTTTTCTATTTTCGCTGACTTTACCTTTTTAGTTCAAAGAATGGATATATATATAGTTGAGTGGGAACCCTGAGGATAAAAGAATCACTTCTCTGAAATAAGCAGGAAAAATAAAGGCACGAAGTAATATATTTCACGACCTACCGAGATGAAAATTTTTTTCAAATAATCTTGAAGAAACGATAGCTTTCGTCACTTTTTTTCCAGACATCTTACTTTTTTGCTCGGTCTTTCTTGTTTGTGTTGCCAGGTATGACATCATACAGCCACACAGAAGTTCACTTAACTCAGGTTTAAATTAAGTGGTTTTTAGTTGCAAAGACCTTAATGAATGAAAAACAGTAATTTTTCTGTCGCTTACTTGGTTTTCAAAATGCTTTCCAAATTTTCAGTGCTTCATTGCTAAGTAAACTGCCCAGCCAAACAAATCGACATATGGCTTTCTTACCGGAAGATCCACCACAACCAACACTAGAAAAAATACGTGTACTGTACAAACGAGAACAGAAAAGAAAAGCTCGCAAAGAGTCACTGATTAAGCGGGAGTCAGAGATACAACGTATGAAGTAAGCTTATTACAAAACAGCACAGTTTTGTCAAGATAGTGTAAACTTTACCCAGTCCTGTTCTTCCCCACATCTTGTGGAGTATTGTTCGTCGTCTAGTCTGTTGCAGATGAATGATCTTAAGTGATTTTGGACTTGACAGCCATGAATTTTCTGCATGCAAAATAGTAGCTCATGGGCAGAAGTTGTGTTTTATGTGGAGTCATCTTCATTTCACCGACTAGTACCGACAAGCAATCACTCGAAGCATATGTTCTACAGAATCAACAGGACAAGGATGTCAGTCATGATAATCGCAAAATATCCACAAAAGTGAGAGATCCTTAGGGCAATTTGAAAGAGAACCCAGTTGAAGATGAAAGCATAAGCTTATACTGTTATTACTCATATATGGAAAAGATGAATGGGTTGTCAGAAGACGTAAGCAGTCGCAATAGTAGAAATAAACTTCCTGAAGTCTTATGTAAGTAAAGATAACTCCATTTATGATGGATAGTGGCTAGAAGCGGAATCCAGGACGCGCGTTTCGTCTTATTTGGGACTCGTTTGCTGAATGTACTTGCCTCCTAGCCAGTGATGTTGTTCCGACGTGGATTCAAACTCGGAGCCGATCGCTTCAAAAGCCAGCAAGTAACAACATTAAAAATGATCACAGTTTGACAAGTCATTATGAATAAAACATTGTTCTTAGAACAGAAGTAGATGTGTTTGCTTTTAGTAAGTAGACGATGGCCGGTAAAATACTCATAATGAAGCCCCGTTGTAGATAATGATTGATACACTGGCAAAATCAAAGTAGAACCTCGCAAGCGAGTGTATCACCTCAAGTTGCCTCACTTAACAGTAGTACAAAAGCCACAGGTGGACAGAAAAGGAATGATATCAACGTAGATAAAGTAGAATGGGAGAATAAACAATCTCAAGATGAAGACTAGTGCGAATACTCAAGCTTTAGAAGATGTCAAGAGTCCTCTACCACTTCTTTCTTTTCTTCTCGGGTGCCTTAGGCAGAGAGTCTGCATCTCTACACATGGCTCGAACCAACAGACAAGGTCTTCATGAATTAGTACCTTATCTTACTCTAGGCACTCACAGCCTCCTCCAAACTAATCTAACGACCACTAGCACTGGACATGGAGGTAGGTGATGATTTGGCATGAGCAGCACATATCCAAGTCTCTTCAGTCAATTAATGTCCACAAACTCAACAATCGACTTGCGTATTTCCTCCAGTACCCTTCGAATGACCTCAACATTGCTCACACAGTGATTCCACCAAATACCAGCAATGTTACGGAGACATATGTGATCGATACCCCGTAACCAATTCGCGTCTTCTACTTCGAGTGGCCATGTCTCACAACCATACAACAGGATGGAACAGGCGGCAATGCAGTATACTCGTTTTTTGGTAGATAGTCGAATATCTTGCCAATCAATGCCACAGATGTAGCAAGTTGGCAAGTGCCAAATGGACCTTCTGTGTCCGAGGTGAAATTTCGTCAGCAACCAGCCCGTTTGAGCTGACACAACTCCCCAAGTAAGTGAAGTGGTTGATACACCCTACCATTTTTCTCCCTACCCTCAGAGTGGAAGTAGTTGCAGACCAGTTCTGCAGCATCATCTTACACTCGACAGGTGCGAAACGCAAGCCAGTCAAACATACTCAGGTGTTTGCTCAAGGAGTCCGGAAAACTCTGAATTTGTCATCTCCACATTGGAGGACAATATCGTCTACATACTCCAAGTCAACCACTCCAATCCCTGTGAATTCGGACACACGTAAGGTTATGTCCATTGGTATGTCTGTGGCGAAGTTAAATGGGGACGGTGACGGTGGGCATCCCTTGTTGATACCACTAGTTGTTGTTACATCAATTCCGACGACAACTCTCCATCAGCCCTGACACGGTTTCTTGAGTCCGAGTAAAGCTTCTATCAGCGTTACATATGTGCTTGATACTTTCCTCACAGTCAGACACTTGCACAACACCTCTCAGTTGACAGAGTTGAATGCCGCCTTCAGATCAGCGAATGTGGCAAGTGCCGGGCGCCAATAGGTATGCTGGTGTTCTAGAACATGTCCGGGGATGAATATATGATCGATGCACCCTCATTGAGGTGTGAAACCTGCTTGATTTTCTTGAGTTTGCTGCTCTTGAGCTGCAGTCCGGTGTCAGATTACTATAGATTCTTGTATCTTGGACACAATATCATTCGAAGTAGTTCCCTTATAGCTGTCATAAGAAGACTTTTTTCCGTTCTTGTAGACTGTAATGATCAGTGGAGTGGACCAGTCTGATGGCATTACCTCTGATTTCCATGCACTACCTAGTACCTCTGTCACTGTAATCAGTAATTTCATACCTCCATCCTTCAAAATGTTGGATGCTAAAACGTCAGATCCGGCTGTTTTTCATCGTGTTTTGGTTGAAGACAGCTTTCTCAACTTCGAGGGTAGTTGGAGGAACAAAATTTGTGTCGTGTTTAGGTTGAGACTGAATGTTGAGCAAATGGGGCGTTGTCATGGGACAGTTGAACTGTGCTCCAAAGTGTTTTGTCCAATGTTCTAAACGCCCATCAGTGTTTCATCCTTTTTGGTGATGGTTTCACTCACCATGGTCTTCTTTTTGCCGGTACACTTAGTAAGCCCAAGCAGTTGTTGAGTGTTGCTCAGCGCTGTTGCCTTCTCCATCTTTCTGCGGCTTTCGCTATCATGGCTCGTGATCATTGCGAAAACTCTTGTTCAAATTACATTTAATTTGCTTTCCCTCTTCACCGTGACCAGAGGCAGCTGGAATCAGCCTTCTGGCATCAGTCATTTCAGATGACGTTGCAGAAATTCATTGACGTTTGTTAATTTTTGGGTGTAGGTTACCAACTGTCTTTACCGCTGTTTCTACATCAGACTTAACATGAGACGAGGTTTACCCAGGATGAGCATTGCTGTCATGTTCAAATAAGTTCTTGGCTAACTTCTCGCTCAATACATACTCGACTTTCTCATTGCTTTTTTATTGACGGGTTTGGATCGAATCGGTTGGCCATTTTAACATTATATTGTCTGCTGTACCAATATATCAGTACAGTATCCCATATTTCAAAATTAATCTGTTGATTAATGCCAAATCAATCAGCTATAGCGAATAAACATCTAAAATAATAAACTGTGCCTCGTGCACAAGCAGTGCCTATGGGTAATGGGTAACTACGCCGAACGTGTTGGTGCTGGTGCTCCGGTGTGCCGGGCAGCTGTCCTCGAGTATCTGACAGCCGAAGTGTTGTAGTTGGTTGGCAGTGCGGCTCGTGACAACAAGAAGACGCGCATCATCCCACGTCATTTGCAGTTGGCCATCCGTAAGGATGAGGAGTTGAATAAGCTTCTCGAAGGTGTGACGATAGCTCAGGCTGGTGTTCTGCCAAACATCGGGACAGTATTGTTACCCAAGAAGACGGACAAGGTGGAGGCCTAAGTGTGTTAGCCTGGGAGTTAGAGAACGTGAAATGTAATGTATGAAGTGACGGGCTCTATTTTCGGATCTTAATGGGAAGAGCAGCAGACTGGGAGGTATGTTCTCCTAGTTGTGAAGTGTGTAATGGGAGGCAACTTCCTACCTATTTCCGTTACTAACCAACTTTCCTCATTACTGAGTAAAAGGAGCCGTTCATCGTTTACTTATATTTCGACGTCGCAACCAATATAAACATGAAACAGCTATGAACTTTCAGATTTATATATGGTGTGTGTGCTTCTTGGTCACATTTAAAATTTAATTTCACAGTAGTTTTTATCTTCAGCTATTTCTGCTCACAAACAAAGGTGTTATTTTTTTTCAGTTACTTCGTTGAACTGTACTTCACGCACTTTTGTTGTTTGGACAGGGAAATAGTGTTATTATTCTTTAAATAATATTTCCATTCCACACCTAATTTCTTAAGAATATATATTATTACAGTTGTACGTAGTGTCTCTACTAGTGGTGTATAACGCATTCAGGACACTAGTTTTGACTACTGTCATCACCTCACTGTGAAAATCACTTTATTTGATTGAAGACATTTTAAATACAAATATTGGAATGATGGGTGATTTCAGTTCAATTCACAAACCGATTGCAATAGGACAGGACGCTCCGAATACATCTTTGTTGTAATGGAATAAATTATCTTTTTTTGTTAAGGTTTCAAACGTCATTTCACAGGTAGCTTTTTCACATGCGGTTAATTCATGTTTTATCCAACTTAGAGATGCCAGTCGTATTTCTGATTGGCGAGATGATTATACTGAATATCAAAAACGAAAATTGTTTGAATACTTGACAAAGACATGTGAAGAAATAAAAGAAGGTAAGCAAGGTATCAATGTTTATGATGCTAATAATTCATGTATTTCTTTAGGTTTTGGGATGACAAAAATTAGTTTATTTCACTTATATTAAAATTATTAAGACGTGGGTTTGGCAAGCTGCTTGAAATGATGTCAGGAATACCCTGATTATATTATGAAAACCAATCTAAGGATACAGGACTTTCGATAGAGATATATCAGTTCAGATAGCTGAAATTAGCTACACAAAAAAAGTATGCGGGATTTATACGGGTTGAAAAAATGAAACACTAAGCATATGAAGATCACTTGTGAACCAGGTATTTTACCAAATTAAGTTACCAATACTTTGGTCTTAAATATGAGAGTATAAATTACAGATTTCATAGTCTAATAAACAAACAAAAATGGATCGATTATTAGGATTTCAGGAAGTGATAGTAGCTGGCAAACACAAATAAGGAGCACAACATAATGACGACGCTTAAGAAGATAGAAGGTTAGCAGTTCGGTCCTGATTTGATGAATTTTTGGCGGCATCAACCCGGAGTATAAAAGATTATTTTCGAATGTGATTTTGTCCATAGCCAGAAGCCGCCTATTCCCCTATATGAATGAAAATTTTAGTCCTAAACTTTATGGACTATTATACCTCTTTCACTTTGGCACGATCAACTTTCCTCGAATTATATCTCAAAATGACGAGAATTGCAAATTGATAAAGGGAATGCTTCCGTACATGTAAATCATTATATAAATCAAAGCATGACACCACTGGCGTATATGTTCCACCATCTAAGTGCAATTATTTCTGAGTAATTTTGTCGAATAATTACAAACTATTAGTTGCGGTAATTACTAGAAAAGTGTTCACAGTAACTAGTGGTTTTAATTGGCAGTGTTAGTGATTAAGTATTTGACATATTAGGAGTCAAGCTAATTATAAACGTTCAGGGATGCAACCAACTAAAATGATCGAATGCCTGACTTTAAACAGCTTATTTAGGATGTTGAAATTTCATTGATAAATAAGCGTTACTCACCCTATTTGCTGTTTCCTAACCAAACCAACCACATTGATAAGTATTTTGGTATATTATTTAGTAGATCAGAACAATTGGGTTGCCTATTTTTGTCAGCTTCACTAATTTATGTAGTTGCATAATCTGAAGAAAGACTTTAGCCAAGTATGACTAACCATTAGATTCTAACGGAACCATTTATTTATCAGACAAAAGCTGTTTCAACCCTTAACTCACATTATAAAATTTGCCTTTTGAAAGCATGAAACATCATTTCCGCACATCTGTTTGTTCAACAGTATTGTGTGTCAACAATGTCTGTTTTCCGGTTTGTAGAAAAAACTAGGTAAATATTAAATCCCAAGATGAATTTCCATGAGGTTGATTTTTGGTGGTTTTCTAACAGCAACCTCAGTTAAGAAGATTACTCACTCTGAACCGGTGCCAGTATCTGGCATGTTGCCATTTAAGCCTTGTGTGGTATGACCGATAACAGTGGTCAGTATTCCGCTCGAACACTGATATAGCGCATGGTGAAATGGTAAAACTTATTGGATTAAATGATTATGAGCAAAAAATGCTGGTTAAATGTTCCATTGTGTCAGACCGAATAGACAAATCAGGATTACTAGATCCCAATAAGGTAAGAAATTTAGAAAAACGCTTGGCTACAGCTGTACACTCATTTACAAACAGTCACACAGTAGGGTGGGATAGAGTGACAGCATTAAAAACTAAGTTAGTTGATTGGAGAGACTGATAACCGAATCTTTGTTTATCGAATCAATACCAAATACATTCAAAATAAATGATTGTGCACCTGTCCCAGATGTATGGAAAAGTTTACTACCCCTGTCACAAAAAAAGAGAGAAAATTAAGGCTACATAAACTCTGTCTCAAATTTAAGGAGTTACCTGATATGAATATGGGCAATCAGTTGTGTCCGAAACGTTATCCAGTAAATGATACTGTTTGACTGTGTGACATTTTTAATAAACAGACTAAAATGGAATCACGTTGTGCCACAGTCCCCAAGTTTTACTCCTACATTGACGATAATACCTTATTATTTGACATAACACAAGTATCAGGGCCAGTAATACTGTATGACTGTATACCATCTCAAGTAAATGTAGCTAATATATAAGTAAATGCTACCAGTGTCCAGGTTTTACATATCTAACAGTATTTGGACCTGATAAGTATTTCTTAACGAAATATGTATCACCCACAAATTGCATCTATGAAAATAGGTGAAACGAAATGTTGGGGTCTGTGGGGATTTATTGATTTCAGGTTGGTAATCATTATGCAGTGACATCATTCGGAGAAACATTGGAAACATTGGAGAATGGAGATCAAATCAACTAGATGTAAGTCTTTATCAGGTGGAATAGTAATCAGTTTATTGTGTTAGTTGTGCAGTGAAATCAATATGGACAGAACAATTACGAAGTAAGGAGACAAAGTCCAGAGATTATATAAGTAAGCAATAAGATAGGGATTCATCTACATACATCTATCTGGGACACGAATGTGTGTGTGTGTCTGTTGAATAAGGGTCAAATTGTCATTATGTAGCGATGAGTTATATCCAAGCTGGGTGAAAAATAACGTGAATGAGCTAACAAATAAAAGACAACAAATATGTTCTATCCATGTACGCTCGTGAACATGTACCAGCTTGGTTAAGGAATGGGAATACAAAATGCATCAACACTTCAGTTCTCTGGAAGGTAGACCATACCTATGTGATATGTCATGTCCCTTGCAATCTCCCCAAAGGGGCACAACTAGGCATTTGTACACCTGCTTTCTCTACTTTAGCCTACAATAGAGTTAACATGTGATTAATAAATTTTTCCATCACAAATTTCACATTTTAGTCTCCCATCCCTTTCTTCTACATTGTCTCTGTCATTACACTGATAAGCTTTCATTTTCTCATGTTACTAGTTTTGTCCTGTTGTTTGTTCACACCATTACTAGAAGTCATTTTCATCTGTTACGTAACACTTCACGTTTGTTATAAGTGCGACTCTACAGTTAAGTGAATGGATTCGCTGAAAACAGTCTTCGCCGAACTACTTACTATTTATGCTCGTTATTTTGTTGTTGTATTCATATTATTTTTCACCTTACTTGGAATGAACTCATCACTACAATTTGACCCTTAGTAAACAAACACACATTCACGTCCCAGACAGATGTATATAGAGGAATCCTTATCTTATTACTTACTTATATAATTTCTGGATTTCGTCTTCTTACTTCGTAATTGTTCAGCCCATATTGATTTCACTGCACAACTAACACGGTAAACTAATTACTATTCTTCAGATGAATGCGAGTTTTTAAGTTAGAAGTGGTGTTCATCATGGACTGACATCAGTTGGGGAATCATTAAAAATCTGGGAGCACTGGACAGCTGTTTCGTCTTAGTATGGGACTTCTCAGCAGTACTCACCTATGATTACTATTCCACCTGATAAAAACTTACATCTAGTCAATTTGGCCTTCATTTACCCATATCACCGACTGTTTCGGTATTTATGTAATTTTAGACTATGCCTTACTTTGGCCATTGCATTTCACTGAATTTCATGAGTTTATAAATGTAGAACCTGAAGAAATTACTGAAAGCAGTTGTTCGCTCAAATTATTCTTATTCTAAAAAAACTATGTAAATCTATCAATTATCCACCAGCTACGTCGCCTAAGCAAATTACCATGACGATTGTTCCAGAACGACCCAAGTAGGGTTAACTATATACTGAAATTTCTAGTCTATTATTATTATTGTTACTATTCATTGACATACTGCTAGCCACAACCAATCAAATTACCTTATTATTATTACTGTTAGAACGCAAACCTAGTACAGCATGAGCGCCAAAAAATGCGCCATTCAAAATAATAAAGCAGCATCTTCGGTACAAACCTCAGATCTTCTGAAAAGCCTGTTAAGTTCATCATTATTATTAATCCAAAGTATTTACTCTTTCGCAAAGATTTTAACTACCACTGGTTCTCGACTTAAATATCAGTCACTTAGGTCATTTGAAATCTATAGGCTTGGTGCCAACATGAGTTTCTTAATTCCCAATTAGTTTGCAGCTTTGTAAGCAAACTGTTCCGCACCACTCCTAACTTTTACGTATTATGCATAAATCTAAAGTTAGTATTTATTTATACTGATCGACATCTCAAGTCATTGTGTCTAAGCCTTCAGTCTGAATCTATGAGTGATAAACTGATTCATTCCGCAAGGTAAAACCTCTTCATGGATTTGAATAATTTTTGGTCACGATAAGTACCGTGATCTTAAACTGACTATTTGTGCTCTTCAGCAGTGTGTTGCCTTGTGTGAAAAAGTATCTTAAACCGTACCCTCCCAAATTCTTACTTACTCATCATTTACACTCTCAAGATTTATTAAAGTCTACTCACTCCGTCAACATTCACTAGAGGTTGTGTTTATATGAGAGCCATACTATAGGCGTTTCTTATTAACAATAGTCATTTGTCCTGTCGTTCAGTTTTGGATTAGTAGTCAGATAAGAGTTTTGAAATTTGGCGAAATGGTTACTCCATATTATGAACCTAATATCTTCGTGAAAAACCAGCCGGAAATTAAGTTATATTTGTGTTAGTTAATAAATTATATTATGCCCGGTAAAAGCATGTTTATCACCCGATGTCCTAAGATAAATGCACATACAGCTGCGGTGGACAAAGCGTAAGATTTTCATTTTAGTTATCCTCACCTGCTGTGTACATAGAAGACCGCTGGAGTGATCGCCAAATTTCGGAAGACACATTTCTTGGTCGTACCATGCTTCTATAGCGTATTTGATTAACTATCGCCTTAAATTTAATGAAACATGATCATGATCTAACCGAATGTATCGTCTTAAATCCCTATTTTGTTTTAAAACAGAAGCTGACCAAAGAATTTTCAGTGGACCATTCAGTGTGCAAAAGGATGACTTAGCGATGATTAGTACTGATGAATTGAGAGTTTTGCGTGAACGCCCTATTAAAAGAGAGCGTCCAAAGAATTTAGATCCAGCAAGTGTTTTGCAGTTGGAATTAGCAAGGTGAACTTTGCAATTTTATTTTGTCAAGCTGAATTATTACTTTCAAAACCATGTTTTAATTTAAATTGAACAACTTATAGGAAAACAGATTACAGTCGACCTTGTTTGTGATACAATTCCCCTCTCTCTCAATTTATATATATATATATATATATATATATATATATATATATATATATATATATATCAGAGGACTTAACTGTTAATGCATTTTGTATTCCCATTCCTTAACCAAGCTGGTACATGTTCACGAGCGTACATGGATAGAACATATTTGTTGTCTTTTATTTGTTAGCTCATTCACGTTATTTTTCACCCAGCTTGGATATAACTCATCGCTACATAATGACAATTTGACCCTTATTCAACAGACACACACACACATTCGTGTCCCAGATAGATGTATGTAGATGAATCCCTATCTTATTGCTTACTTATATAATCTCTGGATAAAAGACCCTATATTTTATATATATGCTTAGAATCATGTGCATGCATAATATTGATATATGAATTAATTTAAAAGCCTTGATATACATATTTTATTTAGGCTGTTGAGGTTTACAAACATTTTAACTGCTAAGATTTATTCTCAAATACTTTTGCTTTAGTTACTTCATAATAAAGTTACTGTGATCAGTTCTTATAGGATTATCATGTCATGAAGGTAATCATATTTCCCTTGAAACTGGTAAAATATAAATGCGTGGAACCAATGAATAACTGATTCTGTAAATATAACCTTTTACTGTCCGACAGTTGTGATTAACCGACAGGTTGACTACTACCACACTTCTCATCATTACATTTGACAGTGATAGAACCATGTATTCCCTTTTTAACGTTAGGACTGTGAGCCGAAGCAATTTTCTCTTTGCATTTTTTTCTGAAGAATGCCACTTTTGTCTATGTTGTATAGAATTATGCATCACTAACAATGAGTAACCTTATTTCTCCGCAATTCCTTAGTAAAGTGATTGCAGTTAACACTTGATGGTAGTTTTTAGTTTAAATTTTTATTTAAGTTTCTTTTGATACTTAAATCATGAATACTTAGAAAAAAATTACCAAGTTATGCTCTGAAATTATGTACCTTTATTGATTGAGTTGCCTTGTACATACGGCAAGCATGTTAACTCACTGTTATTCTTCAAAAGTAGTCTTAGGGAAGTAGAATTAAGTTAACGTCAAAAACAACTAGATCGATACAAAGTACCAATCTATTGTGTCTCTGAGTGTTCGTTTGAGCCATATGGGAAGAGATGAAGATTGTCTAGCTGTGGTCCTGGAGTTGGTTGGAATCATCGTTTGCAGATCCATAGTCATATGCTTTAAAATCAGCCCTTAGGATAAATATTTATGCACTAATTAGCATTAAAATTCCTAGCATTCTATTAGCTCCCAGTGAAATATTCGACATCTCATACTCCTTTTAGTCTGTTTTTATTCACTTTCTCATTATACACTGTCATGAAGTATGACATGTTGAACGGACGAATGTACGCGAAACATCCTATACTGCTTTATCGATTAGTATGTGTGACAAGTTATTATAGTTTTGGTATGGAATACTTGTAAGATTGTATTAAGCAGACAAAATTGTAGGGTGTCTTAGAGGACACCATGACTACCATGAGGACCACATTATTGAGACCTGACCTTATCAAGTTGCAAGCTAGTTGTTTGTATATGGAGTATATAGCTACTTAATATCACGGTGGATGAAATAAATAATTTCATAAGTTTTGTTTACGCTTGAGTTTATTGAGTCTTTTGAAATAACAATTTTAACGTATTAAACTTATGCTAAACGTGCTTACCTACTGTAAAATTAGATAGTAGCATTCGTCACTTCCTCCAATTTACCGGCAAGGAAATAGTATTTTCCAAGCATTTACTGCATAGTGAATCGATGCTTTAACGAGAAAAGGAGGTTTCTGGTTAAAAGATATCATAACTTGTGGACGAAATACAGTCAGATTATATTATTATAAAATAATTTTCCGTTGGGTTCCTATTGGAACATGGGGCTTCATTGCACTCGGTTCTCTGCAGTCTTTTCAACCTGTCACCATGACTGCCCACAAGCTTTCACTTCATCCTCACATGATCGCCTCCATGTCACCACAGACGTGCAACTCTTCGTTTCCCCTTTGGATTCCACTCGAGGGCCTGGCCTAGTGCGTGATGTCTGCAACTGGTCTTCTCAGTGTATGACCAATCCAATCCATTTCCACTTTCTTCTACATATTTGTTGGGTGATAGGTTCATGGTTGGTTCGTTGCCAGGGTTCCATGTTGCTTATTCTTTATGGCCATCTGATCTTCGTTCTAAGAAACAATCAATTTTAGGAAAAAACTCAAAATGAGTTGGACCACTCATTTGCATGATATTTGAACAGTTTTATCATGAACCAGTATATATGAGTTCACTGAGTTCTAATTCTCTGCTTCTCGCTGTTTTCCCTTTTGTCACTATGATATCTATGTTTTGGAAAGAGAAAGAAGATTAGAACAGAGGCTCACTTCAAATTATCGATCCGTTTATACACAGAGGCAGCTAAATGTTACAGTTACAGAAAATAATACTAAAGTGATGCAGTTTACTAGGTTTTTTCATACTTCTTTTTTATTTTATGCACTCTAGAGATATTTTGTTGAAATTTTGCAGTTCCCGCTTATGAAAGTGTATGCCACAAGTATATATACCTGATGTCGACAGGTAATCCATCCCAAGAATATTAGGGTTCCTTTTTAAGCACCTGTATACCTTGAAAACACTAGTAAAAATTTTTAGTCTTAGTTGAAGGTGCACACCTGATTTTCATGTTAATTTCAGCACTGTAGAGTGTTTCATTTTATTGTTTTCTCAGAAAATGTAAATATTATGTCTTTCAAGTAGGGACAAGAGAGTAAACATGAACTTACATGTATGACCAATTTCATATAAATTTTTTAGCAAAAGCTATGAGCAGTTGATGATCGATGAATTGATGGCAACTAGGTAATTTAGTTGACAAATAATAAAATTTCTAGGTTTTATTGACAAAGTACATCATTCTTACCTTTATACATCTATTTCAGTTTCGAAAAAGACAATCGATTAACTCGACAAGTACATGAACATACAAAAGATATTCTTGAACGCTTCAAACTTCCCATCATTCCAACACATGCTGCTATTAGATCTGAAATGTTAGTCGCCAAGAAAAGTTTGGATGCAGTAAGTAGAACTTAATGCTAAATCTTTATCACCGTTGTTATTGTTGAAAAACTTTAATTTTATGCTGGTCAGGAATGTATGTTACACCTTCTGAATAATTTGATTTGATCTTATTCCTGCATTGTATATATGAATATTTTTTTTATCTCAGCTGGACAGAGCAGTTGATATTAGAATATCAATTGGTAGTCGCTTTTTGATTGTTCATCCAAAGGGATTGTATGTTAATGGAATTTAGACACCAAACCGTTGCGATCAAGTTTTTGTTCGAAGCTTGTTTCTATTATGCTCATACACTTTTTCAGTTCGCGGATCTTTGTTCCGTCTGCAAATCGCATTGCTTGTAGATGAAAAATTAGATACTGTAATAGCTTATTTCAATAAAATGAAGTTTATTTTATGTTTTTATGTGACGTTTCATTTTTCACTTTCATCTACATCAGAGTTCGATTAGGTTTTGTTTAACGTCAGTAAAAGATATACGTCATCATATCCGATAGAAACGTGTTCCTTATGCACCATTTTTATTATTATTATTATTAGTCCCTTGGGTTCCTAGTGGAACATAGGGCTTCAGTAGCACGTCTCCATTTCATCCTGTTCTCTGAGATCTTTTGAACCTGGTCCCACGACAGCCCACAAGCTCTCATTTCCTCCTCGCATGACCTCCTCCATGTCACCCTCGGACGTCCAACTCGTCGCTTCCCATGGGGATTCCACTCGAGCAACTGGCCTGACGCGTGATGTCCTCAGTCGGCCTTCTCAGTGCATGGCCAATCCATCTCCACTTCTTCCTGCATATTTGTTGCGTGATAGGTTCTTGGTTGGTTCGTTCCCAGAGTTCCTTGTTGCTTATTTTTTCTGGCCATCTGATCTTCAGTAGCGAGCGTAAGCAGTTGTTGATGAATGTCTGTAGTTTATTGGAAATGTCTTTCGTGACGCGCCAAGTCTCTGAGCCATACAAGAGCACTGACTTGACGTTGGTGTTGAAAATCCGTATCTTGTTCCACATGCTGAGTGCAGAAGATCTCCACACTGGTTTCAGGCTAATGAACGCCTGTCTTGCTTTTCCGATTCTGACTTTGACGTCCTCGTCCGTCCCGCCTGTAGTTGAAACAGTGCTTCCTAGATAAGTGAAGGAGGTTACTTCCTTCAAGTCTCTCCCGTTGACGGTGATTGGAGTTTGTTGTTGTTGCTGATGGTGGTGGTGCGGTATCTTCATCACTTCTGTCTTCTCTATATTCACCTGAAGTCTCGTCTTCGCTGCCTTGACTCTTCTATCAACTTGTTAGTTTTTGCCTGCAGATCTTCAAGTTTATGTGACATTAGGCACAAGTCATCGTTGGCGAAATCCAAGTCTTCTAGGTTCTTTTCCGTCGTCCAGTGTATCCCACTCTTCTCGCTGCCTACTGTTTGCTGCATGATCCAGTCCACCACAATAAGGAATATCATGGGGGATAGTAGGCAACCTTGTTTCACTCCTGTCTTCACTTCAAAATCATCACTGAGCTTCCCATTGTGAATTACTTGGCATGTGGCATCTTCATATAGTTGTTGAATGAGGCGGATAAAGGTTTGCGGTACTCCGTAGTATTGAAGCAGTTTCCAAATTACTTCTCGGTCGACGCTGTCAAAGGCCTTCTCAAAGTCGATGAAGTTGAGGTATAGAGCTGATTGCCATTCTACGCTCTGTTCTATGATGATACGAAGCGTTGCAATTTGGTCTGCACATGATTTGTACTTCCTGAAGCCTGCCTGTTCCGGTCGCAGTTTTGAATCCAGTGCGTCTTTAAGCCTCTCCAGGATGATGCGGCTTAATATTTTGCTTGCATTGGGTGGACAGGAGAGTGATTCCGCGCCAGTTCTTGCAAGCACTGAGGTCTCCTTTCTTCGGCAGTTTGACAAGGTAACCCTTCTTCCAATCGTCAGGTACCTTCTCTTCCCTCCACACCTTCTGCAATAGTGGTGTGAGCATGTCCGCTGTTGTCTCTGCATCTGTTCTCAGTGCTTCTGGCGGGATTCCATCTGGTCCTGCTGCTTTCCCGCATTTCAGTAGCTTTATGGCGTTCAGGACTTCCATTTTCGTTGGGGGATTTATGTTCACTTGTAATTCAGCGGCTGCAGGTGGTATTTCTGGACGAAGTGCAGGTGGTGGTCGATTCAAGAGCTTCTTGAAGTGGTCGGTCCATCGTTTCCTTTGTTTCTCTTCTTTCGTAATTAAATTTCCTTCTTCATCTTTTATTGGTTTCATCTGTGTTGGTCTCTTGCCTACCAGACAGTAACCTGGTTATTTGATACAATGTTTCCAGGTCCATCCTACCTGCAGCCTGTTCTGCTTCACTTGCCAGTGTGTCGTAGAAGTGTCGTTTGTCTTTGCGTGCACTCTTCTTCACTTCTTTATCCAGTGTTTTATACATTGTGCTCAGTTCCTCTTGTCGTTGAGCATCCTTGCACTGGTTTATCTTCTGCTTCACCATCCTCCTCTCCTCTATCAGCTTCCAGGTATCCGTCGAGATCCATTCCTTGTCTTCTTTCTTCTTCCTTCCTAATACTGTTGTGCAGGTTTCTTTCCACATAGCTTTCAAAGACTTCCAGTGTTCTTCCACACAGGTTTCTTCAGGGATGTTCCTCGATATCTCCCATTTTGTCTTGATGGCTGCCGTGAAGATCTCCTGAGGTCTATCACCAGCTTCCTTGAAGGCTTTTAACTTGATTTCGAAGGTTCCTTGCACTAGATAGTGGTCTAAACCTACATCTGCTCCTCTTCTTGACCTTGTGTTAAGTAGACTGCGTCTCCATTTTCTTGAGATTGAGATAAAGTCGATTTGATTTTTAGTGTGTCCATCTGGTGAAATCCATGTCGCTTTGTGGATATCTTTGTGCCTGAACACAGTGCCTCACTGCAATCACCAAATCGTTGAATGCGCAGAATTCTGCAAACAATTCTCCATTCTCATTCATTTCACCTAGCGCCTCTCGACCCATGGTTAGTTCTCTTCCCGTGTTGTCCCCTCCCAGTTTGGCATTCATGTCGCCCATTAGAATTTTGATATCGCCAACTGACGTCTTGTCCAGTGTTGATTGAAGTTGTCTGTAGAAATCCTCCTCCTCCTTCTCTTGCTCTGCATTATTTGTAGGTGCATAACATTGTATGATTGTGACCTTCCTTCCTTTTGAGTTGAACCTTGCTGTCATGATCCTGGAGGAGATTGGTTCCCACTGCATGAGAGCCTTCGATGCTCTTGAGGACATCATGATAGCCACTCCCTCAGTGTGCTCGTGGTTGGCGTCTGGGTGACCGGAGTAGATTATTGATTCTCCAGTTGACAGTTTGGAGAGTCCACTGCCATTCCATCTGCTTTCGCAAATCCCAAGCACTTCGATGTGATACCTTCTCATCTCCTTTGCAATCTGTGCTGCCTTACTGGGTTCAAACATGGTGCGGACATTCCATGTCCCCACGTTTACTTTCGCTTTCATCGAGAGAAGACACATCGGCCAATTAGCTTCCCGAAGGCTTTCACCAACTGGCGTCATTTCGCCTCTCCGATTCCAGCGGGGAATAAGTTTGTTTTCGTTTTTTATATTTTGTTTGTGCTTTGAAGTTTCTTTAGCGGTTAGATTTGTTTTACGGGGTAGGGTTGCTAGCCCTATGCCCAACCTTCCCTCTTTACCTGGGCTTAGGACCGGCTAGTAACTAGTAAACTAGTTAACCAGGCGAGGTTCCTTATGCACCATAGCAAGCAGTATTGTTTGCGTATTCCCCTTGTATCGAATGGTTTAGCACGCTAAGGGACTTTAAAGTTTTGATATTTATTGGGTGGATATAAGTTCGCATGAAAACTGAGTAGACCTATAGATTATTGAAGCGAAAATTTAGACTTACTCAGCAAGCGGGTTTGTTAGCTCAGTTCACAGATGCCAAACCAGGCAAATTTGAGTAAGCCTATTCCTGTTTTGTAACAAACTAAATTTTCTTCCAACCTCCATCGTTATTCATTTGAGCAAATCTTTCTAAGCTCTAAAGTGTAAAATGTTCTCTTGAAACTCTACCAACCTGATGAATTCAAGTAGACGGTTTCCTCATAACTATCAATACGTAAGAAACCTGCAACACTGCAACGCTATTCATGAATTGGGACTGCAGTTTATTTTTGTTATCTTGTTATAATAACCATTAGTTGTCAGTTAGTCTAACTGAAAGCTTGTTTGAGCGAATCATAATTGTTAGCAACAGGTTGAAATATAATATTACAAGAAGAAAATCGAATGTAGCAGTTTTGATCGACGTGGTTTTTAGTATGTTTTAAGGAGTGAAACTGCATAAATAAAATAATCTAAGGAATTTAGGATTAAGGTAATACTTAATAAGTACATTGAAACGAAATGAGTGAATTTGATGTGTGTGAAATGAAAATCTGTTGTGGCATACGAGGATCTGTAGAAGTAGACTGGAACTGATTAATTTGAAGGTATAATGTGGAAAGTGGATAGATGTTTGATGATTCAAAGACAAGTCCACCTGTTTGTTATAACAGATGCACGTTGTTCTTATGAAAACCATTTCATGCTGACTGGTCAAAACTATCATAGTCTCTGTGTTTTAAATTAAAACTAAGTAACATGTAAACCTGTGTGACAGTTTATAAACAACAACATTTTTTATTAATGATGGATGGTGGCTAGAAGTGGAATCCAAGATGCCCTTTCCGTCCTATTTGGGACCCGTCAGCTAAATGTACCTGTCTCTCAGTGAGTGATGTTATTCCCAATGAGACTCGAACTCGGAACCGATTGCTCCAAAAGCCAAGGCGTTATCCACTAGACCACCAGGCCACGTTGACAACTTCTTTTGCGTCGGGCATAGTTTTAGTGTTTTCGCTTGTGTTATCCTGTTGTTGAATGGAGTGAATTGATCAGTCTTCAGCTGACGAGTCCTAAATAGGACGGGACGCGCTTCCTGGATTCCACTGCTAGCCACTACCCATCATTAATATATAATTAAACACTTGATATCGAGGCATCCACGCAGGAGCCCATATACCCGTATAGACCAGTTAGTTCAGTCCAGTCAACGACGGGATCATACAAGCAACGACACTGCAGATATCTTTGTTTTGTTTTGTGTCTTAATTTCATCGAAGTATTTTAGAAGTGGCAAATATAGCATCAGCATACTCACATTTTGGCTCTGCTTAGTTCTAAGTTGAGATTTTGAATCATGCTGAGGTTTTAACATAAATCTTCATTATTAGGAAGTGGATTATACTTTAACATCTGTAACATTCTCAGGCAGTTCACTTTTGGTATCTACGTCACAACTAGAGAATAGTTCAGTTTATTCAACTTGTGATAGAAACCTAATGCATAGTTAGTTTCAGAGACACTGAAAGTTAATGGGTTTCACCAGTAACCAGGCCATCAGATGTGAAGGTAGCTTTTAAAATAAGTAAAATTTTTAGTACACACCCCTTTTCTACAACACATACATACATATAAATCTTGAAAAGTCATTTTTGACACATCAGACGGAAGGCACATACCAAAACGATTAACACTTATTTTTAATGCATGCAGAAAACTTTAACTATTTAGCGTTATTACTGATGTGAATCAAGAAATCTAATTTCTTTTCTTAGATCAGATAAATTTCCTGACAAAAATGAAAAAGCATTGGATCCGTGAAAAATATTTTAAAATTTACGGCTTAAAATGCTTAGAATTTCTTGAAGTATGCAGTATTTTTAAGCTAAAGATTTGCTACGTCTATGATTACCGAAAAATAGCAACTTCATATAACTCTCTATGACTATCCTGCAAGAAGAGGGCATTTCTCGATAAGTGCTTTTCAATTAATTGCTCATACATTACTGCATCTTCAACACAATTTGTTCCGAGTAATATTTTTTAAACCTTTTTTTTAGGCTATTCGCCTGCATAGACGCGTACAACAGAGACTGGAGACATTAGGATACTTTCATGGATCGAATAGATGGGATTCATGGTGAAAAAAGTTAATTCAGCATAACTGAACTTTTTCTCTTGTCATTTATTTGCATGGTAAATATGGCTTTACTAATAAATTTCTTATACTAAGAAACCAAACAACAATTCCATGGTCGTAAATTCATTTTATCGTTTAATAAAAAAACTAAGTGTTATTTATGTCAAATAAATTCCTAAAATGTTGGACGTTATTCGAGAATACTCATGTCACAAGGACATTGGTTTGTTTTTTATTGCTTCTGTTAGTATTCGTCGTTTGTGTATGAATAGAAAATCTCTTTGCTTTATGTCACTTTGATATTCAGATTTAAAGAAGACTTCTAATGATGGTTAACACAATTTAGATCTTGTAATCATCTTGGTGGCTCGTGGTTGAATCCATCCAGGAGATGTGTACTAGATTGCACCACGAGTCACCAAGATGGTCAAAAAACCATGAATATCCGGTACGGTCGGGACATCTGGGTAGCAGTCCATTTGCTAAGAGAGGTCAAGCAAGTCGCCTCGGCATAGCAACAGGAAATTACAAATGTCAAGCAACAATTTAGGTCTTTTGAATTGCAGTAATTTAATGTTCAGTTTATTTGACAGAAATTTCACATGATGCTTCGGTTGTTTGTGTCATTTCTGGTAATATGAGCCAAAGAATACATATGTGCATCAGTATACTACTACCAGTTATTTCGTTTCTACCAGACAGAGGAACTAAAAGTAATGTCTCACCCAATATCCAATGTTCTGCCCACAGAAGGTGGCGAAAAAGAGTAACAAATGTAATAGGGTTTGATATACCCTGAATAGCATTTACATATCCCCATACAAGACTCAATTGTTATGTCACACGAGTTTTTTCATTTAGTTTTCGAAATGTTTAGTGAAGAAACTGTCATTTTTGTCATTTGTTGTAAGTTCATGGTCAAAGTTATATTTCTATTTGTATCAACAGACAATAAACTATGCAGGAATGAGTGACTGAACATTCGACAGGGGTAGTAATAGCACAACATGTGGAGTAGGTTTTAACCATGAATTTCTTTGAAGAACTAATTTAGGAGTTTTTTGTCACGGAAGTTTTGTAGATAACAAGTAAAGGACTGAAAAAAATGGTGTAAGAAACTTGATTATTTTGTGAAATAGTAGAGTTAAGTATCTGAACTGTAGACTTGATATCCCAGACAACTATCTACATCAGTGTGTATGTCTAGCTGATAGAAGATAAGGTAGATAAAAACTTCGAAAATAAAATAAAATATACTATTTTTATAAGTAACCGACTTTCGACCTGAACTGTTTGAAGAAATTACCATGATTACAGATATTGATTACTCTGGTGCTGAGTTCATGCACTTCAAAATGTAGAACTCATATACTCTGTCTTCTTTTTTGAATTGGTCACTGCATTCATGTATTTCTCATTCCTTTTGGTTATTCTATACTCTCGTATTTTGCCTGCATGTTATGCAAACAAGTTTGGTAACTTATAGGAATTCACAGTTGATGCAACTTTTCTCATCATACAGCTTATTTAGTGCTAGCTGACGTAAAAATATCAATACTATGACTTTTTGACATTTTTTGGTCTTTTAACAAATTCTTTTGGTCTGTAGGTAATCTTTGCTTTTTTCGTAATCAGCTCATATGTGATTTTGCATAAATCCAAAGCTAAATTCATTGAACGAAGTGACTAAATAAGAACCAAATTTAAGACTTCCTCACATGAAAACTAGTTAGTACAAATGAAATAGAAAAGGTTTTCAATATATCAAAAATATCTCTTTATTTTAGCGACATAGAAAGCATATTTCAATGATTTCTACTTGAAATAATGGTTTAATTTTAGAGCATTAGCTTTTGGTAAAGGCCGCAGGGTACTACTGTCACCAGAAACTTAATTTTTCTGACAATTTTAGCAACCATTGTTTGTTTATTTTACTGGGAAAATTATTTGCATTTAGATTTATCAAACCAATATTAGCGAAAAAATACTCGGTCAAATCTTGATCATAGTTCATATAAACATAATGTTTATTTATTCACGTCAAATTTTATTGTTCTTAAAGGTATGTCTTAAATTAAATTTCTTTTCAAACACATTTTAAGCAGACTTTTTTTATGAAGTTAGGGCATACATTTTTTTGTTGTTATTCGATGGATTGGCTAAACGTGAATTCCATCCACCAATTTGATTATTTTTCTGTGTCTTCATGTGCTTCCTTCACCTAGAAATTTAATCTGTCTATAAATGACACTTTTGTTCTTTCAACAAAGAAAAAAACTACTGTTTGCTTTGTTTGCATTTATCTCTATTGTACTGACTGTAGGAAAATGGCTTCAAAAGATGATGGGAAAATAAATTATGAATAAGCAGATGTCAGATACATCCTAATTTGTTCCATGTGATTCTAAACTAACAGGTTGATAAATTCACACTAACCTTTTTTGCTTTTACTTTCTGTCGATATCTTTTTTCCTTGTTAAATAATGACAAGTTGAACAAGATCAGACACGAGTTAATCAACTTAAGACAGATATTAGAATCAAGTGCTCGCACAATAAAGCAAGTTTTCGCGAAAATATTTGTGATGAAACATCTGCATCATACTGTTTGTATTTCAAGAGGAAAAGACACAAGCAGACAAAGATTTATTCACTGTCTGACTATGTTTTTTCTATGAGTGCTTTTATTGTTACAATCATGACTGAAATAGCTATGAATTGCTATAAAACTTGATGACTAAGTCAAAATTTGGCTGTTACATTTTTGGAAAGTATATTGTTGGTGATGAGCTTTGCTAAGAATATACCACAGATGGAAACTTTGTTAGCATAACTCAGAATTGAGAGAAAACTTGTTACTTTTAAGATGGGTCAGTAACAAATGCGTACATAAAACGAAAAGTTGTGAAATTTTTAAGATATTCCTAAACTCTATTTCTCTCTGAAAGTACTACCTTTTATTTATCTACGTTGGAGTCAGAAATGCTTAGAAAATATGTCTTCGGATTAAGGTAGTATAACTTTCTTTTTTGCAAAACAGACCCCCACTGTGATTTAAACTGAACTTTCTTTACCAAGCAGAAGCAGATAAACGATTTTAAAGTCAGAGACAAACATGATATTTTTAGCTGAAAATATCTCTTCGAACATCGAAGTCATGCAGTGCTAAAACTGTTCTTCTTATATCTATTGTTGTAGGACTTTGTTTAATATGACAAAAAAAATATTGATACTGTCTGCATCTTTCCTCCATAAAAGTCTACCACTAACCTTGAAAAAGCTTGGATAAACATACATTGAAATTATGGTTTCTGCAGGGCATTTTCCAACTCCAGAAGACGTAGACATTGTGGAGAGTTCTTCATTTAAATACGGCTTTCTCTTTCTCTTCAAACTGCTAAGCTTTTATTGGAGATATAATCTGTCTCATGTAAGTGACGCAGCAAGAAAACTAACGAAAAAAAAGTGATAATTAGCTTAAAAAATGTCATTTGCTAGAAATTTAATCTTTATAAGATGGCAAATTTCGCAAATAGCAGTAATTCAGAGTGCAATGCACATTTCATTTCGCTACATCCATGACTTTAGCTGCATTTATCGTTAGTTTACATGAAATTAGTAAATGAGAATCTTACTTAAAGAAACTTGAAGCTGTGTCAGCGGTGTTGAATACTGAATAATTTAAAAATAAATGACATCAAAGAATTCTCGCTCATGCGTCGCAACTTCTTACATGAATTCTGTGATAAAATGGGGAGGGTGCTTGTCGTTCGCCTTGCACTTTTCAAATGTAAGATGCTGCTCAAGGACTCGTCTTTTCCAGGTACTCTCAGCTTAGTGATAGAGAGCGAAGTGGTGAAATATTTCAGCCACTTCACATACTTGGGAAGTTGCATCAGCTAGAACATGGTAGCTGTTGCTAAAATCTCAGCTTAGGTACAGAAGGCCCGTTTAGTATTTGCCAACTTGCTTTATCTGTGGCGTTGATTGGCAAGATATTCGACTATCTACCAAAAGACGAGTATACTGCATTGCCGCCTGTTCCATCCTGTTGTATGGTTGTGAGACATGGCCACTCGAATTAGAAGACGTGAATTGGTTACGGGGTTTCGATCACATATGTCTCCGTAACATTGCTGGTATTTGGTGGAATCACTGTGTGAGCGATGTTGAGGTCATTCGAAAGGTACTGGAGAAAATACGCAAGTCGATTGTTGAGTTTGTGGACATTAATTGACTGAAGAGACTTGGATATGTGTGCTCATGTTGAGTCATCACCCACCTCCATGTCCAGTGCTAGTGGTCGTTAGATTAGTTTGGAGGGAGGCTGTGAGTGCCTAGATTAAGACGTGGCACCAGCCCATGAAGATCCTGACCACTGGTCTGATCAAAATTGGGCTAATTTAGACTGCCTGTCTGGGGTCCTGGAGACGGTAGGAATCAGTGGTTGAAGACTCTTGGTGAAATGGTTGAAAATCAGCTATAGTGGCGAAGATGTTTTCTGAAGCTTGATTACTTGCGGTAACCTCTGTCTTCTGATAATTTATTCTCTCACGCAAGTTTGTTTACTTTGACATCAATTTTCTTTTGTCCACGTATTCTTTTTACATTACTGTGAAGTGTGGCAACTTGAACCAATGCCTTTGTCTGCGTGGTTCTACGTTGATTTTTCCTGTCTGTCTGGAGGTACACTTTCGGTATCCGGTATGTTGCCATGTAAGCTTAATCTGACACCGTAGATAAAAAATACTGCAATAAATGAAAAGGCTTATTTAAGTTCAATTCAAAATTTCTCATTTCAGACAATGTTTGAGCGAAATAATGATCACTTAGGTCAGTCACGCTCTATGAACCATGAAGGATAAAATTCCAGGTACCGGCAGCTGGGGTTGTATATTAGTTCTGGTTATTGACATCAACTAATCATTGGGGGAAAAAGTGCTCTATGTTTTTGCCCCACTTATCAGTAAATGTCCTAAACAACAACAATTTTAATTAGCAGTGC